TCACACTATAAGAACTAAACATTAAAATCACCTTTTTTCAAGTACACAGGAGACTTCCGTAAACAATAATGCTGCAATAATTTAAAAATATTTGGAACCGGATCACGGCCCGGATTAACGCTAAATTTTAATGAAATTGGTAAGACTACGACACACTTCTGGTAAAATGTTCATTAAAAAATATCTGTTCATAACTTTTTGAGTCATGCTGTTCACAAATAATATCCGGATCGCCACTAATTTTCCTAAAATAATAGGTTCATAACTTTTTGAGTTATTCTGCTAACAAACTAATAAATATCCGGATCGCCATCAATATTTAATGGCATTAGTTAGGTTAGTCACAACTCTAATAAAAAAATCAAGTAAATCTACTCATAACTTGTCGAGTTATCCTGCTAACCAACCAATAAACAAACAAACAAACTAACTAACGCGACCAAAGACATAACCTCCATGGCGGAGTTAATAACAAAGATATATACTTCACACATTTCACTTCGCTCCCTCTCCCTGCTTCACCAAAGTCCATGGGAAAACCACCGAACGGAATTTTGATAACGTACCAAAAATGAAAGTGAAAAAAAGTGAAGAAAACAGCTTTTGAGAGAGTGAAGCTTTTTCTCCGCGTGGGAATGTCTTTATCGGTTGAAAATGCCTGGTATGTAAGGATTGAATTTATAAAGAAGGGAATTCGCTACTGAAGAAGACGTGGAAGACGTGGTGTAATTCATTGTCTTTTTTTCTTATTTTGTTTGGATTTATTGTTGGTAAGTAGGCCTATGGTTAGCGTGAAAATAGGTTATGTTTTTTTAATTTTTTTTTTTTTTTTTTTAAAGGGGGGGGGTAACGTGTGTAACGATTTTTTTTTTCTTTAGATGGTGGTTTTGTGATTTTGCTTGGCTTTAATATGACTTATGAATGTTGTTTGCTGTCGTGTTATTTTTATTATGATGAATATATTTCGTTGTAAATTTAGTGATCATTATATAATTAATGAGACCGTAAATAATATTGTCGTCGCTATTGTCGTCATAAGAATCCAGTGTCACATGTGGTCCTAACCGTCATTATCACATTTGTACCTAATATCGATATATCTTGATCTATTTTTACGAACTATCACATTTTTATTCCATTTCGGTTGCCTTTCTCCCTCTCTCTCTCCTCTCTCCTCTCTCTCTCTCTTCTTCTCTCTCTTCTCTCTTCTCTCTCTCTCTCTCTCTCTCTCTCTCTCTCTCTCTCTCTCTCTCTCTCTCTCTCTCTCTCTCTCTCTCTCTCTCTCTCTCTCTCTCTCTCTCTCTCCTCCCTTCTCTCTCTCTCCTCTCTCTCTCTCTCTCTCTCTCTCTCTCCTCTCCTCTCTCTTCTCTCTCTCTCAACTCTCTCTCCTCTTCCCTCTCTCTCTCTCTCCTCTCTCCTCTCTCTCTAACTCCCTCTCCCTCTCTCCTTCCCCCCCCCCTCTCTCTCTTCACATTTTCTTCGACAAATCAGAACAGAAAAGAGAGAACGAGAAAAAAATGTACTCACAGAAGACAGTAATATACTTGATGATGGCCGGTCTCTGCCTCGAGAACGCTCTGACCTCGTCTATTGTCGACGCTAAGGGAAACGAACCAGAAGGTAAAGAAACAGGCGGATAAAAGTGGAATAGAGGAGAATTAGGATAAAAGTTCTGTGCTTGAGATTCAGATGGTGATGTATGGATGATGTGATTCAAGAGTATCAGTTAAAAGAATGGATAGATAGTAATAATAATGATGATAATGATAATAATGATAATAATGATAATGATGATAATAATAATAGTAATATAAATAATGATAATAATAATGATATGATAATGATATAATAATGATGATGATACCTCAAGGGAAACCGGGCTGCGTAATCTGAATGTTAACGATATACATGATGAAAACGTGAAAGGCAAGGAACGATAACGGATAAATGGAAGACAATGCGGTGATAAGTGATGATAAGAAATACCTAGAATAAAAAAAAAAAAAAATGACTGATGAATCGTTTACTAAGAACGAAAAGATGAGAGAGGGAGAGTAGATGTAAAAAACAATGAGGACAGTCATGGCACATTTTGAAAACGTTTTATATGTTTGAACGTTAGGCATGTTCTTAAACATTTCGCTTTGATCGACTGATACGTTATTATTTTTATTCACACAGCTGATAACGAGTGGCCGTTCCTGCAGAGCTTTCTGAAGGAATCCTTGGTTTACACCAGGTAAGGATATGCTGTAATATCCTTACTACTTACTTAATACATGTAACAGACAAGGACATCTACCCCCTACCCCCTACCCCTACCCCAAGCCCCCAGGTTGACGTCCAGGTTAATTACAGGTATAGTCACAAGTGTGCACGCACGGACGTATGGACACATTGATAGACATACACGCACAAACACACACACCACACGCACACCACACTCACAGACACAGACAGACAGACAAACAGACACACAGACACAACAATACACACACAC